AGATCAGCCCTTGTGAGACGTACTAGGAGGAAAATAAAAGATAGTGATGTGTTAGATAGAGAATGATGGGGGCAGAGGGACCTCTCCAGGGAGGTGACCATGAGCTGACACCTGAAAGAGGAGGAGCCAACCAGGTGGGAACTGGGAGAACAGTATACCAGGCCATGGGAACAGCACGTGCAAGGGTCCTGAGGCAGAGATGAGTTTGCCATGTTTGAGGAACAGTGAGGAGGCTGCTATGACTGGAACAGAATGAGTGACGGGGAGAGAGGACGGAAGATGAAGACAGAGGGGTCTGCAGGCAGGGACTGAGGTGAAGGAATGGATTGCAGAGCAGTGGGGAGCCAAGTAGGGTGTGTGAGCAGAGGAGAGACATGGTGGTCTGCTTTAGGATTCTCAAAAGCCTCTGTGACTACTGGGGAGCAGGGACTATTTGGGCAGGAGTGGAAGTAGCAGAAGGCCAGAGGGGAACCCAGGAGACAGCTGGGTACAATCAGGGATGGAGAGAGATGGGCAGATTCTAGGACTGAGCCGGGCATGGAGGATGGCCTGTGTGTGGCCAGGTTTCTGTCCAATGCTGAGGAACCATAGGGAGGTACAGGGGGAGGGGTTGGTCATGCCCTGGGAAATCTGGGAAACCATCCTGGAAGAGGTGTTCTTGCTCTTTGAGCTACGTCTAGAAGGGCAAGTAGGCGTTTGCTTGGTGTCCACCTGGAGTCGCGCTGACGATCTAATTGTACGGATGCCGTGAGGGCCACCGGGAGCCACAGAGCACTCGGAATTAGAAGCAACATGATGAGATTTTAGCAAGTAAAGATCTCTCTGTGGGGGCCTGGCAGAGACTGGACTGGAGCCCGAGAAGCCAGGAAGGCACTTGAAATGGTTCAGGTGCTGATCAGGCCAAGAGCGACTAGGAGCATCCAGTGAGCGCTTGTTGTGTACCTAGCACATTTGAGGGGGGTTAGCTGCCTAGCTCCTCTCACTGCCCTCAGAGGGCCCCACTGCCCTGCTGAGGTAACCGAGGTTCAGTGAGGGAGGGGCCCTTGCCTGTGACCACTGCCTGACTTTCTAGGGGTGCAGGAACAAAGGCCCACAGCCTTTAAACAATGGAAATGTCTTCTTTAGCAGTTCTGAAGGCCAGAGCCTGAAGTTCACTTGTGGGTAGGCCCACATTCCCTCTGGAGGCTCTAGGGGAGGGTCATTCTTCTTGGCTCTTCCCCTTCTGGGGGGCTCCAGGTGTCCCGTAGCTTCTGGCCACATCACTCCAGGCTCTGCATCTGTCTTCACGTGGCCTTCAGCTGTGTGTCCTTGTCTGTGTGTGTCTTCACATGACCTTCTTATAAGGATCTGGCCATTGGGTTAAGGCTCACCCCAATCTAGCGTGACCACATCTTAATTTCACTGTATCTGCAAAGACCCTGTTTCCAAATAAGGTCACATTCTGAGGTCCTGGCTGGACTGGAGTTTGAGGGGGGAGACTCTTCAAACTAGCACAGCCACACAGCCACACAGCAGGCTGGCCACACAGCAGGACACTGTGGCCCAGTCATGTCTTTGCCCCAGGGCCTTTGCTGAAGCAGGGACAAAGGGGCATCCCGGGGTGAATTCAGGGGCAAGGATGGACAAGCCTGGGGTCCCGTTGGATGTAGAGTGTGGCTAGAAAGGGAGAGTAAGTCTGGAGCCTTCCAGTCTGTGTGTGAGAAGGGAGGGGATGCTGGTGTCTGGAACTGGCCCGCTGAATGGACAAGACAGCCCCAGGGGAGGTCCCCTGGTGTGGGTGGAATTGGCTCCTGGGCCTCAGCTGCTAGTGGGGAATCTATGCTTATGCTAGAGCTGCTTCCCTGCCTGCCTGTCACCCCCAGGCTCCTACCACCTCCTCTAGAGTAGGGACCGAGGGGCTGCCCCTGGTGATAACCACCACTCTGGATCCTCATTTCTCCTGTAGACAATATGCAGGGGCCAGTTGTATTTATTTATTGGCTTCAAGATCTCATCTTGCCTGCTGAAAACATGAGTTTGGGGGGATTCTGTGTGTATTCTTCACCACGGTATGTCCACTTCAGGCACATGTCTTGTATTTAGGAGATGCTCAATAAAAACTTCTCTAGGTCCCTGAATCCCAGCGAGCCCAGGAACAAGCCTGCTGAGATGCCTGTCCCTTGGGCCTTCCTATTCCCCCTCCTGCCCCTACAATTCACAGAGCCCTAGAGGGCTTAACCCTCCATGACTTCCATTTGGCTCTGTCCTCACGCATGCATCTCTGCAGGTGGGACCCCTGCTAGGGCTTGACTTGGTCCTTCCTTCTGGACACACTGGTCTCCCTTCTCTTCCCCACACATGCCCTCCTTGGTTCCCCCTCAGTGTCTTGATCCTTGCAGTGCCCTCCACCAGATGTACCCTTCTGTAGCTCTTCTAGGTCTGGTTCCTTGGCTGCTTTTTAAAGTTCCCTCTCCTGTGAGCCCTCCTAGGACCATCCCAAAGTCTCCCCATCTGTTCCTATCCTCCTCAACTTCATTGGATCTCTTTCTAATACTTTTGTGTATCTAGAATTCTTACTGGTCCTTTTGTTTGGAGAGGGTTGTTGCCAGAGTTCTAGAAATTCAGCTCCAAGAACGACAGGTTTGTATCTCAGACTCTGTGTTCCCAGCACCAGACACAGAAAAGGGGCTCAGTGGCTATATGAATGGATGAATGAGTGAGTGAGTAAGTGAGTGAAGATCTTCCCCCTACCCTGCCGTTTCCACACTCATGGGAGATTCAGGGTACAACCTCCTCCTGGGCAGCCATCTGTTAGGCCCTGGGTGGGTCTGGGATTTCTCAGTCCCTCAGCCCCTGTGAGGCTCTCCCAGGTCTCCTGCACCTGGACCCTTGGCCACTACTCTAGACTTGTGGCCCAGCCCTCAGGTCCCTAGAAGAGGGGCCTCCTGGTTAGCCACTACCCCATCTCCTGCCTGCTCTATAGGCCATTTCCTGGGAGTGTGAATCCTGAGGGCATCCCAACTGACAAGTTCCTTTGTAGGCTCCTTGGGTGTTTCAGCCAACCATGGGCTGATAAGAGGCTCTGTCTGGAATGAAATCTCACCCCTGACCCAATCAACCTCAGCCAGCCTTGTCTCCAAGGGGTGAGATTCAAACTGGCAGGAGGGCAGACTTGAGTGGATGGTGAGCATTCATCAGGTCAACCATACTAAGTTTAGCCCCTTGAAGGGGGTCCCTAATCCCTCAGGGCTGATGAGCCCAAAGGGGAAAGAGGGATCTTTCCAGAGAGAGAAGATGGGTACAGAACCTGCAGGGCCTGTTCAGGGTGGGAGGCCTGGAGAAGCCTCCAGGGTCTGTGGCCGCTGCTTTTGTGAATATCTGGACATTTGCATGCTGGACTTGAACTCAAAAAGCATCAGATACTGCAAGGACTCCACAGAAGCCTGCACAGGCCGGGTCAGTCAGCTTGTGAGCACAGTGTGAGTGCTTCTCATGGGGCAGGGATCTGTATAGGGGCAGGCTCTGGTTGGCAGGGGTTGGGGCACTGAATGCAGTGCAAGGATATGTGCCGGGTCCCGAGGGAGATGTGGGTGGTTCCATCACTACCGTGCTTTAGAAAGAGCCCCCAGCAGCTCTTTCTACCCTGGGGTGGGGGGCTGGTGAGTGGGTGGGTGGATGGAAATACAGAAGGCATAGCTGCTCTTAGAGTATGGCTGAGAATTCATCCATTTAGGGTTCCCACTCATGGCACCCCTGTGGACGTGGCAGGGCATGAGTGGTCCCCAGGCCTCCACTGCCACCACAGCCAGGCCTTCAGGGTGTCCCCAACAGGCTGCGATGAGAAAGAGAAGTCTTATCTGCTGACCCCAGGCCATCACCTGGCCCTGCTCAGCCTCTTCACTGGCCCATGAGATCAGCCCCTGCCCAGGCAGGCATCCGATCACGTATTCATTCAGTCTAGCTATTTTCCAGACACCATAGCGGAAACAGATCAGCCGCCAACAGGCAGTGACAAGCAATCAGATGCTCCTGACCCCGTCCCAAGCTCAGAGCTGGGAAGAAAACAGTGGGGGCCTGGGAGAGAGATGAGGGGTCAGAGCTGGGCTTAGTCACCCCCAGCCAGGCAGGGACAGGGTGAGGCCTAGGTAGTTAGGCAGCCTGGGGGAGGAGGAGGAAAGACGGCCCCATGCCACACACACACACACACACACACACACACACACACACACACACGCACGCGCGCACGTCCCGGTCCCCATCCCCAAGGTCCCTTCCAGCCATTATTAACTTGAATGAATGAGTGGCCCAAGGACACCCTCTGTGCCAGGAGAAAAGAGCATGGTTTTGGACACCCCCAAAGCAGGCTTCTGCTGGCCTGGCCTTCCTAGTATTGGTGGTAAGGGTTAGAAATGGAGATGGGGGCTCAGTCCCAAAGAGGCCCATGGCCTCTTGAACCCATGGCCCTAGCAGGCACTCCCTCAACTGCTAGGATCCCCCACGTCGGGGTCCTAGGCACGCACCACTCGGCAACATCCTGCAAGCAGGATGTCTGAGGAGGTCATTTCAGGAGGGAGGTGTCCAGTCGCTTTTGCAAAGTTATCCCCTCCGCATATGCGTGTATTTGAAGGGTTGAGAGATGGTTGGAGTTTGGAGCCCCGATTTTGGAAAGGGGGTGGCTAGGAGTTAGCGAGAGCTGTCGGGGGCGGGAGTTGTCGCTTCGCTAAGTAAGGTCCCCTCCACTGAGCCCCTCCGGAGAGCGAGTTTGAGGACCAGCTGAGCGCTGGGGGCTCAAGGGGGCTCCCGGGAATGTGGGATCTTTAAATGTAGGCGGGGCTTGCGGGGTCGCCGAGGGCGGTGCCAACCCGGACTCGACCAATCGGCGGCGCCGCCCGCGTCGCGCCGCCCCCTCCTCTCCCGGCCCGGGCGGGCGCTCGCCCCCGGCCGGGCCCGTGGACAGGGCGGCGGGGGATGCACCCGCCGCCGCCCCCGGCCCGGCCGCCTCCCGGCCCCGCGCCCGCCGTCTGCTGCCCGCCCCGTCCGCGGCCCCGGCCCCGGGCGCCACGCGAGGGTCTGCGGCCGCGCGGGACCCTCTCCCCTCCAGCCTCTTCTGCCCGCGGGAGCCGAGCCCTGCAGGTACGGGGTGGGATGGACGGGAGCGCCCAAGGAGGGGGGCACGTCCCGGAGGGGGACGCGGTTTGGGACAGGACAGAGGGTCTCCGTAGGGTCCGCAACCCAGAGGACACGGAGGGGGGAATGTGTGTATGTGCACTGCCTGAGTGAGCGGAGGTTCACGGACCCCCCATTCCGGAGGGGGAAGGTTCACTTTGGCGGGGGCAGAGCAGTGAGTCTCTAAACTCCATAGATACGATGGGGGGAGCTCTTGGGGTGAAGGCAGTGACCGGGGACTGACTTGGGAACCGGAGGGAGGAGACCCTCACCACTGGCCTTTAGATACCGCTGTCAGTCGCCCCTGCCGGGGCCAAGGAGCCGGGTCTCCCAGCTGTCCCTGGACAGACGCTGGGGCACTGCCTCGCCTGTCCTGGAGGGCAGGGCTGCAGATGTAAGTGCTGGAGGCTGGGGGCCAAATGGGAGATGCCGATGGAGACGGGTCAGAGTGGGGTCAGAGTGGAGAGCGCTGTTGGAGGCAGCCATGGGGAGGGCAGGGCAGGCTAATTGCACCCCGCTGACTGCTGGCAGGTTCTTGACTGGTGGTGGTTGGGGGGAGGGGCCGCCAAGGGAATTGGGCAGTCACAGCCTCATGTACCCACTTCCGGGCCACCCAGGGATGGAAGGACAAGTGGATCCTGTCGACCCTGCAGAGCTAGTGCTTGAAGAGTACTGATGGGGCTGTCTTGAGGTCTTTACCCACTCTCCACAGGGACACATGCCCCACAGCTTGCCGCACATCCTGGAAGGTTGTGCCATGTGCTGCTCTGGCCATGGTTCCTCAGAGTGGTTGGGTGGGCATTTCACCCCAAGGGGGCTCTGCCTTGGAGAATGACAGACCATCTTCTTCTGGTTCAGCTCCGAAGGACGGACTGTGGCATTGGGCAGCAGCACCACCACAGGCATACCCACAGCCATGTGCTAAGCATTTTCTCTGTGAGATCTCACCTCCATCCTGGCCGCTGACCTGCTGCAGGGGTCACCAAGTTATTCCTTTACTGAAAGAGGCAGCTGAGGAGGGGCCAGTGACTTCATCCTGGGTAGGACGCCCAGGGGTCCCTCTCAGGCGGCCACTGCACCAACTTGTCATTGGTGAAAGGGCTTACTTGAGGACCTCTGGGGTCTGGCCAGATTATATTTCTGTTGGGTGGGAAACTTTGGAGGAGCCAGCTGCCCTGTTCCCTGCCACCTGCCTACCCTTTCTCATTCCTCAAGAGCCCCCAGGGGCCCCATGCCCCGTGTGGCTCACATTCCCACAGTTTCTCTTGGGATGGTGTGAAAAGAGGGCTCGGCTCATCCTCCCATCCCAGCCTTCAGTGAACAGAGGTCTCATGCCTCAGACACATTAGGCGGTTTTGGCGATTCTAGGGACCCTCAAAACCAGATGTAGCCCACAGGGTGTTTCTAACCTTTTAGAATTCATTGGTGAATCCAGAGCCTTCACCCAGAAAAATACACCCTTTCATAGATACCCAAACCTTAGCCAGAGTTTCAGAGGGGCTCCTGGTTCTTTGGGAATTTCCGAAGGTCCCAGGGACCAGCTTTAGGCCCACTTGCAATGGGGGAGGGGAAGGCAGACATGGGAAGGTATGGGGTCTCTAGTTGCCTGGGCCCTCTGGTCCCACCCAGACTTGCAAGTGGGCTGCCCCCTTCTATGGAATCTCAGGGGGGCCATTCTGTCCTTCTGTGTCCTCTGAGGTCATGGGAAGGGTCAGACACCTACCATGCCTGTGTCCTGAGCTCTGTGGCCCCTCAAGGTCAGGGCCAGGCTGGCTCCCTTCCCAGATGGTGGCCAGATGGTGGCTTGTCAAGAGGGAACTTGGCAGATCCTGCCACCCACTGCCCCCCGGGTGGGACCAACTTAGTCCTTGCCCTTCCTGGCTTTGTGACCTTGGGCAAGGTGCTAAACTTCTCTGAGCCTTGCCTCCCATCTGTAAAATGGGAGCAGGAATGCCACTGGTCTCACTGAGTGACAATGGAGATTCAATGTGATGGTTCTGATAAAGAGCCCAATAAGCACACAGTAAGTGCCAGATGCACATTAATGCTAGAGGCCCTGGGAAGCCTCCCCCTCCTTCCCCCACCTTTCTCCCTCCCAAAAGCCACCTGCACCCATTCCCCCAACCCCTTCCTGCCCAGGGCACCTTAGGACGAGGCTGCCAGGCAAGGAGGAGCATGGCGGACACACGGCTGAATTTGGCCTGTGCGTCGGCCGGCTGAGTCACATCCCCAAATTGCATCTTCATCAGTGCGTTTCGGAAGGTCGTTTACAGCACCCCCACCCCCTCCAGGCTGTGTCTTCCAAGCCACTTGCCTCTCTTGCCTGTGCCCCTGAGCCCTGGGTGAAGACCTTTTGCACTCTCCGGAGTGATGGGAGGAGTGGTGCCTGGGGTTGCCCCATCTCCTGGGTGAGAGCAGGGTCTGGGATTCCTGCATGTGTCCTGGTGACAAGCTCTCGGCCCTACCTGGCAGCTGCTGGACCCGCGAGTGGCAAGCAGGGGCCCCAGCCCAGGAGGAGAGTGGCACCTGAATGTTCATGAAGGTGGTGGCAGAGAGAGATCAGGGCCAAGGTCAGCCTTATAAACTGTGAAGTACTGGGCCTGCAGGAGACCAGTCCGTATGAAGCATCAGACCTGTGTGAGGCCAGGCCTTAGGAACTGAAGTGTCAGGCCACAGGTGGCCATGGGCTGGTTGATGTCATGGATGGGAATGGCGAGGGAGGGGACATGTTGTAATACTCATGAGGTCACTCTGCCATGGAAGGAACATCTCTCGTACTCCTGCTGGGTGCTGGTACCAGCGCCTGGGGCCGGTAGTGAGCAGGACAGATACTGTCTGGGTGGGGTGCCGGACAAATGGCATAGGTAGGTGGTCCTGTGGTGCATGCGGTGGATGCCCTGGCCAAGGTGGCCTGTGTGCTGCTTGGTAGCATGGCTCATCCTGATGGGACAGTTTCCGGGTCTGTCACCCGCAGAGTGTGGGGAGGCACCCTGTCTGGGCACACAGCCCTCTCTCCTGGGCCTGGAACATGGGGCCCACAGTGCATGCCAGGGGACAACACTTGGCCCACTGCCTACCACTGCCCTGCTTGTTGGGAGAATCTCACAAGGCAGCCCAGTCTAGAAACTGCCCTATAAGGAGATGGCCCCTTCACAATATGTTGCCTCAGTTTCCCTATCTATGAAACCTGCCAAATTCTAGGACCCCCTTTTTGGGGGTACAGTGAAGCTGATGGAAAAAATTTGTGAGGACAGAGCCTGGCATGTAGTAGATGTTCACTAAACATCAGCTTGTGGGAGGGAGAGTTGGCGGGGGTGAGGTAGAGCAGGGGAGTGTCTAGCAAGTTGCAACCCTGGCGAGACTCCAGGCAGCCTCATCATATATGTGTCACTATCATCAGGGTCTTTGCTCTTGAACATGATGCCGGAGGACACTGCCCTTTCCAAGGGCAGAATCCAAGGATGTCGGGGCAATCAGTCTGCTCCCTGGCAGCCTGGTGGGGAGACCGAGGCTGACCTGAGGTCACAGGGCCGGGGTGAACACATCTCACAGGGCCCTACAGAATCCGCTCTGGGATCTTAGAGCTAACTACCGCGTTGCCACATTGGTCGTGGAATCTCTTTGGAAATCGCAGACCTTCCACCCAGGCAGGAGGGAGCTGGCGGGCTCTGTAGCCACAGCCATGGTCCTCATGTCCCCACACTGATTTGTGTCCAGGCCTTTGGACAGCTCTAGGGGAAGAACTGGAGGCTCAGTAGGGTGAGATTAACTTGTCCAAGAGCCTAAAGGTCAGAAGGCGTCAAGCCTGGTTTGGAACCACCTCCTAACCACACACTTATACAGCCTCTGGTCCTCCCAGGCAAACCTGCTGGCAGGTTCCGTCTCCAGACATTCAGAAGCATTTATGGAGTGTCAGCTATGTGCTAGGCATTGTTCTAGGTATTCTGAGACAGAAAATCAGTGGGCAGAGTTTCCGTAAGAGGGTTTTCCAGGTAGAGGGCATAGCAGGTGCAAAGGCCCATGGTCGGACCAGGCTTGTCAGGATCTGGTGATGAGGATGCTTATGTGGCTGGAAGGCAATGACTCTGGGGAGAGTGAGAAGGTTGAGGTAGGTAAGAGCCAGACCCCAGAGGACCTAATGGCCAGACTGAGGAATTTTGGTTTTTATGCAATGACCCTGGGGAACCTTGGGAGGCTTTTTGAGCAGGGGAGAAATGTAGGCTGACTTGGGTATTTCTGGGAGGCTGGTCCACGTGTTAGCCCTTCTGGGTTCAGGGCTTCCTGAACCTCAGAATGTTTTGGGGTGGTGGCAATGGTCCCTGGCCCTCTGGTCAATTGGCAAGGCCCCGTCATGACTGTGTCCCTTATGCCCCCCAGGTCAGCGCAGGAGCCCCGTCACTGAGCCATGCTGGGCCCCGGGTGGCCTACAGTGAGCCCAACCCCGGCACCCACATAGTCATGAACAGCCACAGCCACAATGGCTGTGGGGGGCGGCCGCTGGGCAGTGGGCTGGGTGCCCTGGGCAGAGACCCTTCAGAGCCCGAGGCCAGCCACCCCCCTCAGCCCCCACCTGGCCCAGGCCTCCAGGTGGTGGTGGCCAAGAGCGAGCCAGCCCGGCCTTCACCTGGCAGTCCCCGGGGGCAGCCCCAGGACCAGGAAGAAGAAGAAGATGATGAAGAGGATGAGGCAGGCAGGAGGAGGGACTCAGGGAAGACCCCAAATGTGGGCCACCGCCTGGGCCATCGGCGGGCACTCTTTGAGAAGCGGAAGCGCCTCAGCGACTATGCCCTCATCTTCGGCATGTTCGGCATTGTTGTGATGGTGACCGAGACGGAGCTATCCTGGGGGGTCTACACCAAGGTAGGCACGGCCCTTCCCGTCGGCACTCCAGAGAGTCCCCTCTGGGCCCACCTGGCTCCCCACTGCCCCTTGGGCAGGGCCTCAGGGACCACATTGGCCCCGGGAGAAGCAGGTGGAGGAAGCTGGGGGGGGGGGACCTGGAGGTGGGGTCGGGTGGATACTGGACCTCCCATTGTGTCCACCTCCTGGGAGAGTTAGGCTCCAGCCCATTCCTTCCGCCCTATACCAGGAGGGCACACACCCTGGCTTAAGGTGGGGAAAGGGTGCTGCCCCCCAGGCCAGGCCCACGACAGAAGAGCCTCAGAGAAGGCCTGGGCCACAGAGCCTGGAAAGAGCTGCTGCTTCTGAGAGTCATCAGGCTGGGTTATGAGCCTGGCTGTGTGTCCCCTCGTGCTGCCCAAGCGTGTATGAGGACAGAGAGAGATTGGGGCATATCAGCCTGTAAACTATGAAACAGTGAAGGTGGATGAGGCTAGGCCTTATAAACTGTGAAGTCCTGTGCCTACGTGAGGCCAGGCCTTATAAACTCTAAAGTATAGGCCAGCCTTGCTGTCAACCCAGGCCTAAGGAGTAAGGTAGGAGCATAGCCTCCTTAGTGGAGAGCCCAGGTGGGGGGTCAGGAGGGCTGCCCACCCCTCAGCATTCTTGTCCTCCTGCCCTCTGCTCTCTCTTTCTGCTCAGGAGTCCCTGTACTCATTTGCACTCAAATGCCTCATCAGCCTCTCTACAGTCATCCTGCTGGGCCTGGTCGTCCTCTACCACGCCCGGGAGATCCAGGTCAGTGTCCAGCTGGCCAGGGCAGCTCCCCTCCCTGTGTCCCAGAGATCCCTTGACACCAGCCACCTGGGACCCTAGCCCCCTAAAATGTAAAAGGACCAGTAGTCTCTTTATAGAAAAAAGAAAAAAGACCTCTGTGAAGACACGCCCTTTAGATCCCTCTAAATTTCTTTGGAATGCCTGTCTATGTTTTACTTTTCACTGATTATTTGGGGAAAAAAAAAAAAAGAACAGTAAGGGAGCCGGAGGTAAGCTGGGGTATGGCACACGTAAGTCACCTTCACAGCCCTGGGGCCTTCCGAGGGTTTACAACCTTGGAAACCAGTGTTTGTAACACCAGGCTTCTGTTCCTGTTCGATCAGACCCTGCACTTGAAGGATTTATTACATGTCAGGGAGTTTGTTCTCCTATTTTAGGAGTTGATCGAAACCTCAGTGGGCCCCAGAGAGCCCAGCTCAGAGCACGTTGGGCACCTGTGCCCACAGTAGGCAGAGATCGCCTGGGGGTGCCAGAGGGTGTCAGAGCCGGCTTCTGAGTCTGGCCTCTGACCTCTGAGTTCAGGGAGCTCTGGTCTGATGGAAGACAGGTGTTGGAAAATCTTGCCTGGGTTGCATCACCCACAGATATCCCTGGGGACACCCAGGGTCTGGCACGAAGGAGGGGCCCTGGATATGCCTGGGGGCAGTGGAGGGGACTGTGATATGTGAGCTGGGAGGAAGCAGTTCCTCAAATAGTGAAACTTGGAGATACCACATGACCCAGAAATTCCACGACATCCAAGAGTGATGAAAACCTACATCCACAGGGAGCTTGTACACGTGTGTGCATAGCAGCCCTATCCACAATAACCAAACAGCAGAAGTAACCCAAAGCAGGTGGTGCATGTCCTGTGTCCTACAATGAAATAGGATTCAACCCTTAAAAAACGAAGCCCTGGGGCGCCTGGCTGAGTCAGTTAAGCATCTGTCTGACTCTTGGCTTCAACTCAGGTCTTGATCTCAGGGTCATGAGATCGAGCCCTGAGTTGGGCTCTCTGCTCAGTGTGAAGTCAGCTTGAGATTATTCCCTCCTTCCTCCCCCTCTGCCCCCTGCCCTGCTCGAGAATAATCGTCTTGGGCTCTGGCTTCATCTGGGCGGCTCAGCAGTTGAGCGGCTGTCTTTGGCTCAGGGCGTGATCCCACGGTCCAGGATTGAAGTCCCTCACTGGGCAATCTATAGGAAGCCCACTTCTCCCTCTGCCTATGTCTCTATCTCTCTTTCTCTCTGTGTCTCTCATGAATAAATAAATAAAATCTTTAAAAAAAGAATTGTCTTGGGCTCTGTGCTCTAGCTTCCGAACCCCCTGGGTTGGCAGTGTTACCCCCTTGGCTCTGGGTGGTGACCTTTTATGACTGCCTTCTTCAACTCCGTATGTTTTCAAAAGGTTCTTCCGAGTGGTAGGAAGTATCAGAGCTCATTCCTTTTTTTTTTTTTTTTTTAAAGATTTTATTGATATGTGGTACCTGGGTAGCTCAATCGGTTAAGCGACTGCCATTGGCTCAGGTGGTCCTGAGATCGAACCCTGCATCGAGCTCCCTGCTCCGTCCCCACTGAAGCCTGCTTCTTCCTCTCCCTCTTCTGCTCCCTCTGCTGTGCTCTCTCGCTCTCTCTGTGTCAGATAAATAAAATCGTTTTTTAAAAAAGATTTTATTTATTCATTTGAGAGAGAGAATTGGGGGGAGGGGCAGAGAGATAGAGAGTCTCAGGCAGACCTTGCATCCAGTGCAGAGCCTGAGGCAGGGCTCTATCTCACGATCCTGCCATCATGACCTGAACCAAAATTAAGAGTCAGATGCTTAACCACCTGAGCCATCAGGTGCCCCTGGATGGCTAATAATATTCCATTGTGTGGAAGGACCTCATTTTGGTAACCCATTCATTCATAGATGAACAGTTGGGTGGCTTCCACTCTTGGCAATTGTTCGTGTACAGGGATTTGTTCCCATGCCTGTTTTCATTTCTCTGGCATATATGCCTCAGAGTGAGATTGCTGGGTCATTGGTCACTCTGTGTTTTTCTTTTTCCAGAATGCCTGTTCCACATTTAATTGGAATTGTGGCTAACCCCCCCAAACTAGGGAGTTTCGCATCTGAGGCCACGTTTCTCATAAAAGTGAAGCCGGTGGGGCTGGGGTGGTGGTGGGGGTGGTTCTTGGGCTGGGGTCTCGTGGGGGGCAGAGGCATGAGTAGGAGACCCACCACCACTGCCTGTCCCCTGCCCTCCGCAGCTGTTCATGGTGGACAATGGGGCGGATGACTGGCGCATCGCCATGACGTGCGAGCGCGTGTTCCTCATCTCTCTGGAGCTAGCCGTGTGCGCCATCCACCCGGTGCCCGGCCACTACCGCTTCACGTGGACGGCCCGCCTGGCCTTCACATACGCGCCGTCGGCGGCCGAGGCCGACGTGGACGTGCTGCTGTCCGTCCCCATGTTCCTGCGCCTCTACCTGTTGGGCCGCGTCATGCTGCTGCACAGCAAGATATTCACGGACGCTTCCAGCCGCAGCATCGGCGCGCTCAACAAGATCACCTTCAACACGCGCTTCGTCATGAAGACGCTCATGACCATCTGCCCCGGCACCGTGCTGCTCGTCTTCAGCATCTCCTCCTGGATCATCGCTGCCTGGACTGTGCGAGTCTGTGAGAGGTATGGCCCTGGCCCCAGTGACCACCTTGCCCACCCCTGGCTCCAGAGCCCCAGGGCTCCCCCGGCCATCACACCCCCACAACCTATCCCTGGGATAACCCCCTACCCACACCCACTTCCTGGCCTCAGCCCTCGAGCATAGCGCCCTCATCCCTGGGACTCCAGGGGGTATTCAACCCTTACCTCAATCCACACCCCTCTGGGGCCTTGGCTCTCTCCCCCTGGGTAGGGGGGGTTTTGTGCTCCTCCACTGCGAGCTGCTAACCTCTGACCTCTGGCCCAGGGCAGTGGAGGCAGCAGGAACAGGATAGCTCCCAACTGCCTGTTTCCCCCCAGTTTAACCTGCTCTCCTTCTGCCCTCTGCCCGCCCCACCGGACTGTAGGGAAAACATGTGAGTCCTACCCTTGGCCAAGCTGTGTGTACAGAGCTGCTGCTGTCCCGCCCGCCAGGAATTTAAGATTAGCTGCCGCAAGGGGAGGGCATAGGGAGGTGAGGTGGGGTGGCTGCCACCAGCCCAGAGTCCCAGCAGGGCCGGGGCAGGCAAGTTTGGAGTCGGGCCGAGGACAGCAGGCGGCAGGCTGCTCTTGGGCCGTGTCCACTGGGCATCCTGGAGGTCCTTGTGTCCAAGGCCGGGGAGGGTTTTGTTTGGGCAGTGGACCTTGGGGGACTTGGACATCTCCTTCCAAGTGTTTAGTGGGTCTGGGGTAAATAAAAACCGGCCCGGCCTTTAGTACCCCTCCCTGCATGGGGTTGGTTCTGAACAGCCCTGGAATGTGCAGACCATCAGCCCAGCTTACAGATGAGGAAACAGAGGCTCAGGAGCAAAGGGACGCTCCCAAGTCCTGATTCCTGGTGAGCTCTCTAGACCCGCAGGGTGCTTCAGGAAAGGGAGGGTCTCCACTGGGCCTCTCAGAGCATGGGGCTACCTTGCCTGGGAAGGAGCCTCTCCTACCTCATGCCTCACTGGGCAAGGCCCTGGTAGGGTGTGTGGCAGGTAGTACTGGCACTGGGCTTCCTGGGTGGGGGTGGGGGGTCCCTGGGCTGGATCTGCCCCCCGGGGGCCGCAGTCTTCATCCCTTTAAGCCCCCCTCCATGGTCCTTGCCTCAGCCTGATGTGGGGCTCATAGGGATGAGGGCCCAGCTCTTGTTGTCATTGAGCCTATCGTCTCGGGACCTGACAGGGTCTCCTTGGACTCCTGATATACCACCATGCCAGTGTCCACAGCCCACCCCCCAACCCTGTCAGTCCAGGTCAGGATTGTGTTCTGGGGAGTGAGAGGGGGTATTCCTCATCGGGAGTCCTTGAGGTGCAGTCTGGGTCATTGTAGGGGTCCCCAGGTTGGGGCAGGGAACGGGGCAGGACCGGGGGGGCAGCCAATCCTAAATTCTGAGCTCTCTGATGCTGCTTGAAGCCCCCTCGCCTGCCTCGCTCCGCCCCTGTGGCTCTGTCCCATCCCCACCCTGCCTCCCGCATGCCCCCCACTCCCTGGTCCTAGGTAGTCCCGGGGGGTCCCGCAGCCATCACCACAGCTCCAGCCAGGCCCAGGGCTCCCCTCCCCACTGCTGGAGGGCCTCCCTCTCCTCTTGTCCCCTGGGCGTGGGGTGCTGGTCTACTGAGAGGTGGAGGTCAGGGAAACTTGGGGCTCAGGTGCCCCAGTGAAAGATGGGATTCAGGCCCAGCTCCCCTGGAATGGCCGTCTGGCCCCCAGGGCTGGGCAGAGACTCCCAAACATCAGACCTGCTGAGGTCTCCATCCCTCCCACCCACCTTTGGGCTTCTGTTGCCTTCCCCTCTCTAGGCCCCGACGCCAGTCCGGTCTGCCTGGAGCAGCTCCCCTGCTCCCCAGTTCCCCTGCCCTGCCACTGCCCACAGAAGAGGGCCCACCTTCTCTGTGCCACCTCAGTTGACCTCTAACCTTGAAACACCCCACACACACACTCAGGGCCTGAGGCGTGGGAAGGAGTCCCCTGGAAAGGGCTCCCTGAGCTGGAGGGGCTTTGCAGGCTGGGGGCAGGGCTGGCGCAGAACCTGGCACTGACCCTGCAGACCCCCAGCCTGGGCTGACCCTAGGTTGACTTGTTTGTGACCCACGTGACCAGGTTCCCAGGGCTGGCTGTGACCAGGGACAAAATCATGTCCTTTGGGGCCTGCCCCAGACCCAAAGGTTAGCCCTAGGCCTCCCCAGGCTCAGATTAGGGCAACTGGTGCCACCCCAAACGTACTGACTTCCCTTTTTCTCCCTAGCCCTGCAGTCCTGCAGTCCTCCAGCGTCCTATGTCCCTAGTAGTCCTCTCCCCACTCCCACCCCCCACTGGGCCCTGCTGGATGGGGGAGTTCTTCCTGGGGTCTGACCTGAATCCTCACCTCCACTCCCTGCCGCTTCTGGTACCCGTGGCCACCTGTGTCTGCATCTGTCTGTGTGTCTGTCTTTGGGAGAGGGCTCGTGGGCACACGTGTGGACACGTGGACCTACCCTCACTCGGACCGCTCTGCCCCATAGCCAGGGCCTGGGGACAGAGCACAATCTGGGCAGCAGCTTGGGGTCTGAGTGAAGGGAAAATGTTGGAAGAAATCTTGGGAGGGGAGTGTGGGTGCCCTCTGCCCTGTGGTACCCTCGGGAGGGTGCTAACCACCCCCTTCTCCCTGCCCCAGCAGTGAAGCCTTTATTACTTGGAGCCCTCAGAGTGATCAGCAATTTGCAGTGAGGGTCCCCCCACGCTGGTGGACCCAGGGCCCTGGTGTCCCGGTGCTGCCGGGCCCAGGGCTGTGACGAAGGCAGAGAGACCAGTGTGGACTGACTGGGCCTTCCCCGGCTCCCCTCAGGTACCACGACAAGCAGGAAGTGACCAGCAACTTTTTGGGGGCCATGTGGCTCATCTCCATCACCTTCCTCTCCATCGGCTATGGTGACATGGTGCCCCACACCTACTGCGGGAAGGGCGTGTGTCTGCTCACTGGCATCATGGTAAGGGTGTGGGGCCCTTGCATACCCTCTGCTGAAAGGCAGCTCACCCTACTGCGAGCTATAATGCATCAGAGTTCCTCCTTGTGTCATCCTGCCCCTTCGCTTCCCTCCTCCTTACCTCTGCCATGACCTCAGAATCTGCACCATTGGGCTTCCTGGAGGCATCTCTTCTTGGCTTCTTCCAGCCCTGGGTTTGTAGTTCCTGTGGTGCCCACAAGGCTATATGCTGTGGTCCACTCTTAGCACCGAGTTTTCTTTGCCCTTTATTCTCTGCAGCCTGCTGAATTCACACCCTTGGGTCCAGGCCTAAGGGCTTGATGCTTCCATGCCTCAGTTTCCCCAGCTGTAACCAGTGCCCACTTCTGCTCGTTGTAGGGTTCAAGTCTCTTCCTTTATGTGAATGCTGTGAACACCCAATCAACACCCTCTGGGTTGTGCCATCACAGCCCAACTCCCCCCATCCTTGCATGACTATTGAGGTATCCCAAGCACCCCACGGAGCCGCCATGGTGTGAAGTTTATTTCATGTGACTCAGTGGGCCCTGGCAGCACCCCATCTCCCCAAAGACTCCTCAAGGCCAACTGTGGGTGAGGGCAACCTTTGACATTGGGTATCTCCTTTCCCTGATTCCATCACCAATTTTCCTGCTCATCCCTTCCTTCTGGAACCTCCTTTCTCCAAACTTCCACCTCCTTCACAAACACTTCACCATGTTTTGGATTATGAATTGTTGAATGCACGGTCTCCTACTCCTCTCCCCAGCCCCCAGTGAAAAACACGTTCATTTGTGAAAATCAGTGAACACCAGTAGGCCAAAGAAACCAACCTGATCCCACGCCAGGTTCGACCCCAGGCCACTCCTTGGACTGTGTCCTTCCTTTTCTCCACACAGAGAGATGCATTCTTGGGAAAATAAGACACCATCCCCAAAAGTTTCCTTTCTTCCTGCAGACGGAGGGGTTGTCTTGCTGTGGCTTTGCCCGTCCTGTTTCATGGCTTGTGGATTGCTCTCAGTTGTCACTATCTCCCAAAGGCCCGTGTCCCCTCTTCACCTCTCATCCCTTCTAAGCTGTTTGGGCATAAACTAGGGGTCCTTGTCCTCTCCCTTGCCTCCACTGGGGCCGTCCTTCTGGCCAAGCTGACATGGCCCCTCTCTGGCAAAATGGCCACACACCGATTTATTACACTATTTTGCAAGAGAGGGGAGGGGAAAAGACTAAAAGATCGGCCACAGTCTAGCCCCCACCACAAGCAAGTAAACTTTACAAACGAACAAAAAAAAAGTACTCAGGTAAGGTGAAGTCAAACACAGAAAGCCCAAGATTAGATGGAAAAGCTGAGTTCTGTTCTCTGGAACCTTGGTTTCTGCCAGAAAATGAATTCCTTGTGTGTCCTGCAGCTTGCTTGCTGCCTCTGCTCCTGGCGTGCACGCCAACACTCATGCTTGGGTCAGTCTTGAGCTCACTCTTTCTTTGAGAGAGAACACAAAGCAGGAGGATCAGAGGGAGAGGGGCAAGCAGACACCCCACTGAGCTCAGAGCCTGACATGGGGCTCGATCGATCTCAGGACCCTGAGATCATGGCCTGAACTGAAATCAAATTGGTGACTTAACCAATTGAGCCCCCCAGGCGCCCTGGTCTCAAGCTCTTCTTCTTTTTTTTTTTTTTTTCTTTAAGATTTTATTTATTCATGAGAGACACAAAGAGAGAGAGGCAGAGATACAGGCAGAGGGAGGAGCGGGCTCCATGCAGGGAGCCCGACGTGGGACTCGATCCCGGGTCCCCAGGATCATACCCTGGACCGAAGGTGGTGCCAAACCGCCGAGCCACCAGGGCTGCCCTCAAGTTCTTCTGTTAGCTCCCTCCTCTTCCACCCTTGCCCAGGTGTGTTCCCTCCCTGTCACTGCCCCTTCCAGTAACTCAGCAGCTGTGCGTTTGGCTGTTGAACTTCAGGGCATCCTCGTCAGGCCCCCTCTGAGCCCGGTGTCTCTGGCCAGACGTGGTTTCCGTGCTCTTGTGTGGAATTGGCAGATGTCCTTTTCTCTTGTGCATAGTATGCCACGGGAACTTTCCAGCATGTTTCTGTGCCACAGTGGACAGGGCTTTTTCCAGGAACCCATGACAGGGTTTCCTCAGAGGGTAACCTTGAGCATGTCCTGCCCAGGCTGGGCATGTGGGCATCTGTACCTGCCCAGGACTATCTGATGGTGTCCCTAGCCCTTGCCCAGCCCTCCCCATAAGTGTCTCCTTCCATCCCCTAGCAAGACTGAACTACATACAGCCCAGGCCCCCTAGGCCCCCAGCTCCCCCAGCCTAGGAGCTGAGCCCAGCCTCTCCTTCTTTCCTTAGAGGTAGCAGCCTGGGGAGGAAGCACCCGGTCGGTAAGGCACCAGGAACTGACTTCAGTGCAGGTGGGGAACACCTGGCCTTGCCTGCTCCTGTCACCTGCCTTGGGCACCTCTGGAGCCGATGACACCTCCCAGATGTTCTAGGCTCCCAGCCCCTACTCCTTTGTGGCAGACTCTGCCTCCCTCCCATGTCCCTTTTTGCTGCCCCTTCTTCCACCTGTCAGCCCTTTCCTCTCTCTTGGGTCCTCACTCCTGCCCTTCTCTCCTAGGCTGCTCCCTGATAGACGAGCAAGTCCTCTCTGACCTCTTTCACTAGCTGGGAGGTCTGGCTGCCACTTTGGGCACCCTGGGCAATGTGGTTGCATCCAGCAGGGAGCTCACCATGGGGGAGGCATCCTCCCCTTCCCCACCTCCTGGGACCTCCACTTTGCTCTTTCCTACCTGCAAATGCTCCCCCACCACCACCAATAGGCAGCCAGCCTGACCCTTCGCTCACACTGCCTTCTCACCCTGCCAGCTGACCCCTCCCTTGAGTGTGGAAAAACATGTCTTCTGGGTCTCTATCCCCAGCACCCAGACCCCAAAGCCTTGATGGAAATGCTTCCAATCCTCACTCTTCCATGGTCGTCAGCCCTGGATGTACCTGCAGATCTTGCCCTATTCTCTCTTTCTCATCTCTGAGCCCCTCTGCCCAATGGAGGAAGAGTGGTCTTACCTACCAGACCTCTTGGGGGACCAGATAAGCTAATCAGTGGGACACATTCCCCAGACTTTCAACTGATATTAAGCAGGTGGGGCTGGGAGTCAGTGAGCTTAATAACAGGTGGGATCTACCAACGCTATTATGGGCTTGGAGGGTAAAGGTGAGGGTGGAATCAGGGCATGCTTCCTAGAGGATGGAGGGTGTCTTCTCTGCGGCCTGGGACTACATGAGGCAGGACACTGATGTGTTCCTCATCCTCTGCATGCAGGGGGCCGGCTGCACAGCACTCGTGGTGGCCGTGGTGGCCCGGAAACTGGAGCTCACCAAGGCAGAGAAACATGTGCACAACTTCATGATGGACACTCAGCTCACCAAGCGGGTAAAGACCTCCCTCACGGCCGCCCCCCCTCTCCCAGTCCTCAAGAGTAGAGCCTCCCCACTTTACTCCTGTACACACTGGGCATGTCCACATGCCCACAGGTCATTGCATTGTCTTGTGCCCTGTTGCCCATGTGAATGCTCATGAGCCATGCACAGAGACATGGCAGTGGCCCCAGGTGGCCACCTCTGTGCCCAGTCATAGCCCCACCCTGAACCACACAGCAAGAGGCAGGCATCTTGGGGCCAGGCAGGCCTCCAGGTACAATCTATAAGCTGTCTGATCTTGGCAGGCTGCATTCTCTGTGCCTCAGTTTCCCCATGTATAAAGTGAGAGAGATATCCGCATCTGTAAATTCATTGATTTAACATTTGTAGGGTGTATAACAAGGGTCTGGCCTGTACTGAATGATAGAAATGACATACACGCACACACACACAGATTCATAGAGCACAGATGTGGACATGTAAATATGGCCGTGCCTTACAGGCCCAAGACCCCAGAGGGGCATTTCCAGGAGTTTCTAAGAGTTTCTGGAAGTTTCCAGAACTGTCTACAGTTTTGTGCCTACCTTAAGGAATTGTTCTTTTTCTGGCCCCAGGTAAAAAATGCCGCTGCTAACGTTCTCAGGGAGACGTGGCTCATCTACAAACACACCAGGCTGGTGAAGAAGCCAGACCACGCCCGGGTTCGGAAACACCAGCGTAAGTTCCTCCAAGCCATCCATCAGTAAGTCCAGCACCTTTCCCACTCACGTTTCTGTGTCCACCTGGTGCGGAGGCAGCTGTGGTCCTCAGGAGGAGGCTACAGGCCAGGCCAGACAGCTCAGTGTGGCTTCGTCATGGCCCCTCCCATTCTGGGTGGTCAGCTGGTTGGGGCTTGCAGCCTCTGTGCTGGGTGGGATGGTCAGAAGGAGGCAAGAGATGGGCCCAGCTATTATCCAGGGCAATCACCTTTTGATAAATCCGGCAACCCACGCAACATAAATGGCAAGAAGCATATTTTATTCTCCAAAATAGCCAAAATTATTTACCTTTTAGATGTTAAGCAATTTCCCTCTTTTGCTTTGGCTGCCAGAAAGCTCAGAATTAACTTTGTGTCCTGATTCATGTGTTCATGTGGGGTAATTGGAAATTACTTGATTTCCTCTGTTGTCCCTTTGCCCTGAAAATTATTTAATCAAGTAGTTCTCATCCTTGGCTGGAATCACCCACAGGGCTTTAAAAATTCTATAGGCTGCACGTAATGCCAGTTAGCACAGACAGACTCTGGGATGCACCTTGGCTTTAAGTTTAAGTTCCTCAGGTGAGTCCAGTGTGCAGCCAAAGTTGGCAAAATTTTCCTATAAAGGGCCAGAGAGTAAATATTTGAGGCTTTGTGGACCAGACACTCTGTCATAACTACTCTACTCTGCTGTTGTAGCAGGATTGCAGTGAAGAGGAATGGGTGGATCATGCTCTAATAAAACTTTATTTTCCCAAATAGGCAACTAGCCAGATTTGGGCTGTGCCAGGCTCTAATATGTCAATCACTGTCACTAGAAATACCATGTAAACCACTACATAATTTTAAGTTTCCTAGTAGCCACATTAAAAAAAAAAAAGTAAAAGAAAACAAATGACACAAATTTTAATATATTTATTTAATATATGCAAAATATTATTTTAACATGGTTAATATAAAAATCAGTAATGAGATATTCTAGAAAGTTTTGGCACTAAATCCTCAAAGCCTATTGTGTATTTTACATTTACAGCCCATTTTTATTCAGACCAGCTACATTTCAAGTGCTCAGTAGCCACATATAGAATGTATGAGACAGCACCCAGTCTAGAATTTAAACAGCTCCAAATCCTGTGGAGTGGGGCACTTTCAGTTTATATTTACAATCGAGTCATGTGGTACCTGACTTAAAATAGCAAACAGCAGAAAAAAAAATGTATTTAGGCACTTCTCAGAATGAGCCCATGGATTCTCATCTCTCACTTTGTGAGAAAACCTATTCACTATTGGGCTCCCCTAAGAAAATCAGATGTTCCCTGCCTGAAGAGCTCCCAGGCCAGACACAGGGACCAGTGAGTCACAAAGTGAAGTGAATAGTGTTAGAGTCTGAACTAGTCCAGCAGGAAGGCTGCTGATTCAGCCGTGGAGAAAAGAGACAAGAGGCAGCATGGAGAACCCCAGTGTGAGTGGCGGAATTAGGGAGGTTGGGCTGGAAGAGAGTTTAGGGTTGTGGCTGGGACAGCCCAGCTCCCGGGGTGCCAGAAGGTAAAGGAGTGAGCCCATAGTTACCTGTGTCCCTTTGTTCTCGGGCAGGACTGCCCCACTGTTTTTTTTTTTTTTTAGGACTGCCCCACTCTTATTTATTGATTCATCTATCTATTCATCTCTTTATTTATATATTTTAAGATTTTATTTTTAAGTAAACTCTACACCCAACATGGGGCTCAAACTCACAACCCCGAGATCAAGAGTCACATGCTCCACTGACTGAGCCAGCCAGGTGCCCCTCACTCATTCTTAGGTCCCCCTAAACCTACTCCCTTCCCAGCCAAAAGAAAAAAAAGGTGCCCTGTAAAGCTGATAAAATCAAAGAAGTTTGAACTAGGGCCTGAAGGGTGGTTGGAATTTGGTTAAGAAACCAAAAGGTGGGTAGGCATACCAAGGATTGTCCACAGTTTGGGCAATGGTGGGAAGGTAGGAATGAGCATGGTGCTAGGGAGACCGGAGGTCTCATATGCAACCATGAGGGAGCCATGGCATATTCTTGAGCTGGGGAGTCTCCATGCCAGGAGCACTGTATGAGCAGCCACTGAAAAGGAAGAAATGGTCTCAGGACAGATTAAGGAGCATAGCATGGGTTTGGAAAGTAGGATGCAAAGTACCACAAAGTGGCTGATTTAAAACAGCAAATTTTATGATCTTCCTGTTCCAGAGTTCAGAAGTAGAAAACCAATGAGGTAGCAAGACTGTTTTCCATCTGAAAACACTAGGGGAAGATCTGGTCCAGGCCTCTTTCCTAGTTTCTGGCAGCCTCGGGTGGTCCTTGGCTTCTAGATATATCATTCTAATCCCTTATCTTCACATGGCCACCTCCCTGTGTCTTCTCATCCCTCTCTCTGTGCATGTCTGTGTCCAAATATCCCCCTTTTTATTAGGACACCCATCCTTGCATTCAGGCCCACCCCCAAGACCTCCTCTTGATTAAATCTAGAAAGAGCCTACTTCCAAATAAGGTTACATTCTGAGAAACCGGGTGAGGGGGTAAGGCTTCAAGATACCTTTCTGGCGGAACGCTGTTCAATGCGTAACATGGAGGTTGCCAAGACATCAAGACCAAGTTCCCCGCTAAAGGCATTTCTGAGCTTGGCAGGCCTCTACCTGCACTCCGGGGCAGCCTCACACCCCCAGGGCTGGGGTGTTTGCATCCACCGCATTTCTCCAGACCGAGGGCTTGGTCCTATCAGGGATCCCGGAAGTACCCAGCATGGGTGGGCCCTAAGGGGCCTCCCCGAGCATCTGTCACATGTGGGCACGCAGAGATGGAGTTTGGACCAGTGGAGAGGAGTCCTATCTGGTATAGTTTCCCTAGGCTAGTTTAACCACACAAGGGATGGATATGAGGGACAAGGACACTCTGTGGCCAATTCCCCACCCTCCTACCCACAGGCAGCTGTTGGGAGGCCCAGGTGCAGAGGCTAAGTGGCAGGTACCGGTTCAAATCCTGCTGGAGTGCTGGTGGGCCCTGGCTTTGCCTCTCTGAGCCTCATTCTCCCTCTTGGGAAACATCACGGGCAGAGTTCTCTGGACTGAAGGCCACTTCTAAGGCCAGGTGCATTTGCTGAGAAAGCAGCCGCATTTGCTGAGTGGGCACTACTGGAGGGAGGCCAAGAGAAGAAATGCATCCCCAAGGGGCTGGCATTGCCCCCTCAGCCACACAGGGCCCCCAGCCTGGTCCTGGGGTTGTGCATGCGGGAGGCGGACAGGGTTGGGCACATGCCACCCAGTTGCACTGAGATTAAAATTGCCTTGTGATTTCTCTCTGCTCTGCCGGGTCCTGCCAGAGCTCAGAAGTAAGTGTCTTCCTGGGGGCGCAGGGTGCATGGTGGTCCTGGGGCAGGGCACACCCCCAGGGCAGCTTGTGGAGCACTGCCCCTGGCCTCAGGAGGTGGCCAGGGCTTGTATCCACCCTACAGGCCTGTGAAGTCTTCACTTGGCGGGGGGCGGGGGGGGGGGGCCTGAAGGTCCAAGTTCCCAGGACATCCTGAATCAGGCCACTTAGATGTGGCCAGAAGGTGGACACTGTGGGAGACAGCTTAATCACCCCCCAGACTCTGCCCCCTGATGTGTGCTAGGAGGGAATGGGCTGCATGGGGCCTGACCCTAATTCCCATCTCATGCCCCCTCCACACGTTCCACAAGGCGACCCCAGGTGGGGTGGGTGCATGAAGGACCCCACTCCTCTACAGCCTCCACCCAGCCCCTACCCACCCTCCCACCTGTCCTCCAGGCTCCGGAGTGTGAAGATTGAGCAGGGGAAGCTGAATGACCAGGCCAACACGCTCGCCGACCTGGCCAAGGTCAGTAGGGCCGGGCTGGGTGGGGGGTTCCCTGGGGCCAGCAGAGGCTGGTCAGGCCCCCACAGGAGGATGGGGGTGTTCAATAAAGAGAGATGCTAGGAATCTATATCTACATGTAGACTACTTTTTAACTTTGGCAGCTATTTTATTTTTTTTAAATAGTATCTAATAAAATAGCTTTATTCAGAATATCTAATTAGTGGGCTAAACTGATAAAGTACCCTTTTGTTTTATTTTATTTTATTTTATTTTATTTTATTTTTTTTAGGCATATCTACATAGAGGCTTTAAAATTGGAGAGAAAACAAAATTCTTCTTGGATATATGGATACAAATTCAAATGATAGCATTAGTAGAAAGCTTATTTGTGCAGCAGTTAAATATCTTTCAGGAAATTAAAGTTGGCTGCAGGAGCTCTCTAAGACCAGCCAGCTTCTGGAATCTCTCTGTTGGTTTTATTGTCAAGCCCGACCCTGTTCCCCACTTTGTATTCATCCACTACAAGATGGGACCGGTGACCCATCTTTAGCCAGGCAAGCTCTTAGAATATCTGCCACGTGATTCTGAGCTCCCTTCTGAGCAGCAGCAAACCTTTCACGAATGGTTCACATGTGAACTCGGCTCACTGGCTCCAACCCATAATCAGTTAATTAGTCTGAGGTTAATTTAATATTATCTTTGGAAGATGTTAAGTCCTATTCTCCTTCTTATACCCAGAGCGTTTTGGACTCATTCTCTTCATCATTATCAAGAGAATGCAGTATGATATTAACCTACATATATTTAATTTGGAAAGAAACATTATAGATAGGGGAAAAAAAAAACATATTGTAGAGCCCTGAAGAAATCACTTGGTGGTAGCAAGAACATAATCCTAAGAGCATACAGAAACCCTTGCCAAACTAATTTGATGTCCTATGAGATTATAGCTAGAAATACATACGAAATGCCTTTGAAAAACTCAGGTACTAGTTATTATAATTGGGATTATCCATATCGCACTTCCTTCCATTAGTATAGATGATTGAAGTTTGAATTTTTCAGAGTTATTTAAACCTCTCAATCATGGTAGTATAGTCCTCTCCGTACATTTAACAAAGCCTCCTTGGAAGTAAGGCTTTAATTGGATGGGATTATAGGGTTCCTAATTTTTAAAATTTAATAAGGTTAAAATGTTTTCCAGTATTAAACTTTAATGTGCTCCTACCCAACGTCGCTGATTTAATTTGTGTATCTCTGACAAAAGTAAAACGCATATTCTACGTTTTGAAGAATTTAAACCTCAGGCCAGAAAAAAATCATCAGAGACCAGGTGCCTTCAGGTGTTCCCCTAGGCCCTGGGGACTGTGGTGCCATGATGCAGGCCAGGGTGAGGGCCAGTGACCCTAAGAGGGGACCCGGGAAGACCTACTGAGGCTCAGGCACGAGGCTGGAAGGCAGAGGTAGAAGGCAGAAAGCAGCAAGGCGCCCCGCTAGGCGCCCCGCTAGGTGCCTCATCTTGTCCCCCTGCTGGGGAGCGGGAGGTTGGGGGCTCTTTTCCCCTCAGCACCAATCCTGCCATCTCAGCGCTGCCTGCCTGGGGGTCCGGTGGACACCCCACTGAGGTTAGAGATGAGGAACAGTGTTCTGTCGCCGCCTGGTGGCGAGTGCGGCGCTGGGCCCAGGTCTGAGTGGCCGCCTTCCCTCCGGGGTCCAACTGGACGTTGGCAGAACCGGCTCCTGCTTGCTGGCTTGTGGGGAGCAGGTGAGGCGGTGGGGATACCTCATCGCCTGTACGACTGTTACAGTCCTTGTTGTGGCTGCTGTGCTCCCTGATCTGTGATTGGGTCAGATCCTTGGACTGGTCACTGCCCCCCTGCCCTGCCCCACCCTGCCGCTGACCCTTGTCCCTCCCCAGTCTAATGTGGGGTGCGGGGGGGGCAGTGGTTTACAACTGGGCCTCCTCCCCCTCGACCATGTTCCCAGCCTGGAGCAGCGTGAGCCCAGAACCGGCGTGCCTTCCCCCACCCCGGGACCACCCCAACCTTCCCCAGGCCTGGGGGTCCCCAGCCTGGCATTCAAGACCTGTCTCTCCTCTTGCCCATTCCCTGCAGTACAGCGAGAGACCTGTGGGGCAGGGGTGTCCTCGCACTTGTCCCCCACTTGGGTCCTTCTTAGTGGCCTCCCACCCAACTGGGGCTGGTCACCCATCTCTCTGTGTGTCTGTCCTCTGCTGTCTCTCACTTGGCCTCTCCTTTCTCTCCCGCTGTGTCTCCGGCAGACCCAGAATGTCCTGTACGACCTCATGTCCGAGCTGCACGCCCAGCACGAGGAGCTTGAGGCCCGCCTGGCTGCCCTCGAAGGCCGCCTGGATGCCCTGGGTGCCTCCCTGCAGGCCCTGCCTGGCCTCATCGCCCAAGCCATACGCCCGCCCCCACCACCCCTGCCGCCCCGGCCTGGCCTCGGACCCCTGGACCAGGCAGCCCGGAGCCCCCCGTGCCAGTGGCCCCCCGTGGCCCCTTCAGACTGTGGGTGACAACCCTGCCTGCCACCGGACCCCTCAATCTTGGCCATCGTGTGGCCGCCACCTCCACGCCATCCAGGAAGCCCTGTACAGCGGTGCCTCTTGGAGTTCAAGGAGCCGAAGCTGAGTCGGGCTGAGCGGACCAGGGCCCTCCCCACCCAGACTGTCTGGGCAGAAGACAGGGCCGGACTGCAGGCGAGGGTAGGGGTGGGCCACCGCCCGCTTCCTCCCTGATTGGAGCTGGGGGAGCCAGGAGCTTCCTTTGGCCCCCGGACCCCCTGATTCTCCCCAGGCCCCCGGTGGGCATGGAGCAACCAGGAGAGGGGTCCTTGCCTTCTGAATAAAGCAGGACCCACCCAGCTGCCGCCTGTTTTGCATGGCTCTGGGACGTTCATATTCACTGCATGGGAGGGGGCCACCTGACTTCAGGTCCCATGACGGATGTGGGGATCTAGAGCCCATCCCATCACTGTGCTGGCCTGGTAGCCCTCCAAGTCCCAGCTCAGGTGGGCACACCTGAGGTCATCAGTCCCGACTGCTGTTGACAGTCCTGGCCTGCAGGAGGCAGCAGATCCTGGGGAGGTCCTTTCCATCCTGGAGTACCCAGTGTGGGCCAAGCTCCAGTGAGGCCATGGGTCATGGTCCAGTGGAGAAGGTGACATGGGTGAGGACCATTCAGGCTTCACTGGACATAAGATGAACAGAGTCCACAATGTAAATGACCACTTCTTCACCAAAACCTGACCAGGGTAGGATGGGGAAACAGGGTCAGAGAAGGAAAGCCACTGCCAGGGGCTCCAGAATGGGGCGGGGGGGGGTGCGGGGGGACGAGTCAGGATTCAAACTCCGGTCTATAGGCCAAAGTGAAAGAGCCTGGACTTGGTGGAGGATGCTCTGTGGAGAAGGGTATGGTGTGATTCAGGGGTTGGAGCAGGCTGGAGGGGAAGGATCTGGACTTGAGTAGAATCAGAAAGGTTCCTCCAGGCCTTGGGTTCAGGGTGCTGGGGTGAGGCAGGGGTGGCAGGCACTTGGCAGCGGCTGGGCTCGGGGTAGTAGGGAGACAGAAGCCTGGCTGGGGGTGGGGGGGGGGCTAGGTCTGGATGCAGCTGAGAGCCTCAGGCCCTGGCAGTCTCTGATAAAGCTATCAGCCATATGGCTCAAGAGATAACCTGGGCGCTGAGACCAGGAAGTGGGGAGGTGCCAGGGGCTCCAGACCTGTGTTGGGAGTCCTGATTGCCACCACTGGGTGCTTCTGGGTGAAGGCTGCTCCCTATGCGGGAGGGGGGGCTCAGTTTCCCCATCTTATGTAAGATCTGGTATGGGGAACAGGGTACAGTGCCCACCTTTGGGGAGCACCTAGTCTGATGGAGGAGGAGGCACAAAAACCATGTCACAGTCACAAACAGCGACCGGAGCCATAAAGAAGTAAGGCCAGAGTATGATTAGGGGGCTCTGAGGAAGTGGCATTTGGGCATGGGGGGCAGGTGGGGGGTGGGAGAGCGGATGTGGGGAAGGGCGTTCCTAGCAGGGGAACCGTCAGTGCAAAGGCCAAGAGGCAAGCCCTGAGCTTGGTGTGTTTGGAAAACGGCCAGGAGGTGGGCCGGAGGGGGAAGCTAGGGCCAAGGTGGCGGGTAGGCGACAAGTGAAACCACCAGATAGGCGGGTGGCTGCTCCGCTCCGCTCCGCTCCGCTCGGGGCCAGCCACATCCGCCCCGCCCGGCCGCCTCTGACTCGACAGAGCCGACCCTACAAAAACAGGGCCCGCCCCGCGCCGGGGGTGGCGAAGTCAACAGCGCGGGCTCGCGGGCGGCACGTCCCCGGCGGCCCGGGCGCGTCACGGGGGCGGACGCAGAGGACCAGGAAGTCGGCGGCCGACGAGCCGGCACGAGTTCGCGGGGCCGGAGGCAGCCATGCGCCCGGGGGGCGTGCGCAGCTTCGCGCTGGAGCTGGCCCGGGGCCCCGGCGGCGCGTACCGCGGCGGGGAGCGGCTGTGCGGCCGGGTGCTGCTGGAGGCGGCGGCGCCGCTGCGGGTCAGGGCGCTCGAGGTGGCGGCACGCGGCGGGGCGGCGACGCACTGGCTCGAGGGCCGAAGCGTGGGCATCAACGCGGTGTCCAGCGACTACGCGGCCGCCGAGACGTACCTGCGGCGGCGGCAGCTGCTGCTCCGAGGTGAGCCGCTCGCTCCGCACTCCGCAGCCGGGATCCCCCGGCACCCGCTCCCGGGGCCGGGAGACTTTGGGGAGTTTCGCCTTAGACGCTGTGCGGTCGGTGACCCTTCTTGAGTGAAGACCTTCTCTCCGGGGCCTGGACCCTCCCGCCAGGACACCCACCCACCCACCTCCCTCCCTCCCTCCCTCCCTCCCGAACTCTCTTTCCCAGGAACCCCTCTCGGGGTCTGGGCGACCCCCTTTTCAAGGCCGGGAAGCCCTCCACCCAAAGGCAGGGACCCCCCCAACCCGACCCAGAGTCTGAAGAACCCCTGGGTAGAGTCAGGACATCCTCCACTCTGAATCCAAGGATCCGCCCTTAACTCCAGACCTGGGGGCCCTTTTTTCCCAAAGAGAACCCCCATCTCCCGTTCTACTAGTGCCTCCTCCCTCAGTTTACCTCTAGTGTTTGCAGGGATGAGCTCACGCCTGGGTGGGTGGGGAGTTCTGGTGGTGGTTGCAGGTCCGTGTGCGTCCCCGAGAGGGAGGAGACTTGGGGTGGGGTGGGATCAGGCTGAGAAGACTCCCAGCTGGCTCCCAGCTCTGAGCCTCAGTCCCGCACACCCAGGCCACACAGCCGTCAGGAGCAGGCCAGGGGTGAGGCTGTGCCTCAGCACTGAGCTGTGTTTGCTGTGGAAGATGTTGGCTCCCGGGGTCGCCTTGCCCCCCCTTCCGTCCCCCGCCTCAGCTAAGCCGGACTCGTCTGTAAAGTGGGCAGAGGCAGGAGGCAGCTCAGACCTGGTCTCCTGCCCGCGGACTGTACACAGGAGATGCTTTGCCCGCAGCCTTTCGGCCTTAGCCCAGCAGCCCCAGATGTGGGGACTCTCCTTACTAGCTGTGGAAACCCAGCCCTAGAGGGCCCTAGGGTGGGACAGGAAGAGGCCCCCCGAGGCACTTCCTTTCCCCTGAGTCTCAAGGCAAATTGGGGCTGGTTGCACCCTGCTCCCACTCACCACCTGCTTCATTAAGATACTGGGGTGAAGCTTGCAGAACTGCTGTGTAACCTTGGGTGAGGTCCTGCCCCTCTCTGGGCCTCTGGGGAGCCATCTGTGAAAAGGACTCACCACATCCGCCGCCCCCTCTCCTGGGGTTACGGCCTCCAGGGCTCCAGGTGGCCCTGGGAGAAGATAGGAGCCCTTCATTTCAGTCCCAGAGTCCCCTTCTCCACGCAGCCTCCCAGGGTGATCACTGCGTCTACAGCCTCTGCCCCTCCGTTAGGTATTGCTCTGACCCCCACGCTGCTGTGGTCACTCTGACTGCAGGGGACCGTGTCCGGCTATGGCCGCCCCCCACTGAGGGTTCCCAGGGTCGTTCTAAGGCACCTCAAAGGTGGCGTGGCCTTCAGGGTAGGGGGTGGGTTGGAGCAGCTGCGCATCTCGCTGCCACCAGAGGGCGCCGGCGCCCTGCAGACCGCGACTAGGAAACGTTCTTTGAGGTTCTCGGAGTAAACTGAGGCCCAGAGAGGACAAACCGTCTGGAGGGCTCGCCGCAGCCCTGGCCCTCGGGGTTCCTGGACGTCCCCTCCACTTGCATCTATCTGCGAGGGGACTGAGGCTGGGGGGTGCCAACAGCCGGCCCAAGGGCTATGCCGGGGGGGGGGCTTGTAGGAGTTTGCTGGGGCCGCAAGTTGCGACAGGAACATGGGCTGGTGGGAACAGCTTGGGCAAAAGCGCTGAGGGAGCCTGGGTGGCAGCATGTGGGGAGTGGGTTGATGACCTGGGAGCCAGGCTCTCGGGGGGAGGGGGATGCCCGATGCCCGAGCACGGTTGTCTACAAATGACAAACATGGAACCTTAGGTTCCAGAGGTTGTCACTAGCCCAGGGTCACCCAGCTGAGCGGGATTCGAATCACAGGCGGGGGGCAGGGGCGCCCAAGCAGAGGCAGGCCCTACCTACTTCCTCCTTCCCCCATCTCTCAGACGGGGGGAACTGACGCCCAGGGTGGCCCTAGGCTCTCAGGGCCCCAGTGGGGCCGGGCCATCCTCCAGCCTTCCTGCTCGGGGCGGAACATGCCTTGGGTCAGATCTGCAAGTGGTGACCCGCTGATGATTAAACCTAGTGGCAAAATGCTCTAGCTGGGTGACCTCAAGCCCGGGGCCCGCCTCCGGCCCTAAGCTTCCCCACTGTAGCCCCGAGGGTCCCCGAGAGACCGGTACTGGACCGCGACACTTCGGTTTCACTCTGGGGCCCACCAGGGCATAGGGCACTTGCGGGGTTTGTTATTTTGCTCCACGCCTGGGCGGGGCCCCGCCCCTCGCCGCGCATTGGCGTATTCCTCTCTGGGGGCGGGGCCCGCGCGGCGCCCCGCCCCGCCCGCCGTATAAAGGCAGCGCCGGCGCAGGGCGCGCAGGAATTTTTGACCTGGTCGGCAAGTGCGCCTGCGCGCCCCGGGCAGGTTCGCGTTCGGAGGCTGTAGCCTCCGCACCTCGTACCGCCGCGTCGCGGGTTCGAGGCCAAGGTCTGGGCGTCGCGGGTTCGCATCCCGGGCGCGATGCTGTTCGACAAGGTGAAGGCGTTCGTGGTGCAGCTGGATGGCGCGAGCGCGGGCGCCGAGCCGGTTTTCAGCGGCGGCCAGGCCGTCGCGGGCCGGGTGCTGCTGGAGCTGGCGGGCCCGGCGCGCGTGGGCGCCCTGAAGCTGCGCGCCCGGGGCCGCGCCCACGTGCACTGGACCGAGTCGCGCAGCGCGGGCTCGAGCACCGCGTACACGCAGAGCTACAGCGAGCGTGTGGAGGTCGTGAGCCACCGTGCCACGCTACTCGCGCCAGGTACGGGCCGGCTACCCGGCTACCCGACGCGGCCCACGTGCCCCGCGCTCCTGGAACTCCGGGCGGCAGCTCAACCTCCCCCTTTTGCTCCTACCTGCAGACACCGGGGAGACCACGACGCTGCCTGCGGGTCGCCACGAATTCCCGTTCAGCTTCCAGCTGCCTCCGTAAGTCCTGCGTCTGGGGCGCAGAATTGTGGGGGATTCCCTAAGCCTGCAGCCCCTTTCAGGTTTAGGGCTCCATTGCTGGGTATGTGGGGACCCTCTTGACCCCAAGGGGAGGGAGGTCCTCAGTGTCTCTTTCATCCTCTTAAGTCTCTGGGACCACCCCTCAGCTGCGAGTGTCTGTTTCTTGTCCTTTGAAGTCTCCTCCTTCCACCCCCACCCCCAGGACCCTGGTAACATCATTCGAGGGTAAGCATGGCAGTGTCCGCTACTGCATCAAGGCCACCCTGCACCGGCCCTGGGTCCCTGCCCGCCGGGCGAGGAAGGTGTTTACTGTCATTGAGCCTGTGGACATCAACACCCCTGCCCTGCTGGTGAGTGGCTGCCCCCAGGGGAGGTGGGGGCCTGGCTACCGGGTGACCCCAACTGGCTCCTCAGTCCTTCACTTCCTCACAAAGTGGGAATCACAGCTGGGCCCTGGCAGGGAGGGAGGGAGGGAAGCAGGCAGGCAGGAAATGCCCTTGGAGCCCAGGGGAGCTGGGTGCAGATCTCAGCTGCACCCGTTTGCTGGGTGGCTCTGGGCAACTGCCTCGCTCTCTCTGAGCCTAGTTCATCTGCAAAATAGGGGACAGCTAGGGCTTGTAATGATAATGGCTGCCGGAGGACTAATTGCACACTAAGTAATTAGCTTATTCACTTCATCTTCAGCTTTAAAAGATGGATTTTACCTGTGGAGTTATTTTACAGACGGTACCTGGTTGTTAAGACAAAACCAGGAACCCTGCCCCAATTCCTCCCTCAGCTTGGGGTGGTTTGGAAGCTCCAGGGGGTCTGTGGTTTGCACAGAGTGACCTGTTTCTATCCCTTCCTCCAACCCACCAGGCCCCTCAGGCGGGAGCTCTAGAGAAGGTCGCCCGATCCTGGTACAGCAACCGTGGTCTTGTCTCTCTCTCTGCCAAGATCGACCGAAAGGGTTACACGCCAGGTACCAAGCAGGCAGGGCTGGAAAGGGAAGGGTGCCAGCATCAAGGCTGCAGATAGGGAATCTGACGCCCTGCTGCTCCCCACTACAGGTGAGGTCATCCCAGTCTTCGCTGAGATCGACAATGGCTCCACGCGCCCAGTGCTTCCTCGGGCCGCAGTGGTCCAGACGCAGACCTTCATGGCTCGGGGCGCCCGCAAGCAGAAACGAGCAGTGGTGGCCAGTCTCGCCGGCGAGCCTGTGGGCCCTGGGCGGCGGGCGCTGTGGCAGGGCCGGGCGCTGCGGATCCCCCCTGTGGGCCCTTCCATCTTGCACTGCCGGGTGCTACATGTGGACTACTCCCTCAAGGTAGGGCATCCCACTGGTCGGAGGAGGAGGGACGGCCGCATCTGCCTGGGCGCCCTCCCTCACGGTCTGTTCCTCCAGGTCTGCGTGGACATCCCTGGCACATCCAAGTTGCTCCTGGAGCTGCCACTGGTCATCGGCACCATCCCCCTGCACCCTTTCGGGAGCCGCTCATCCAGCGTGGGCAGCCACGCCAGCTTCCTGCTGGACTGGGGGCTGGGAGCCCTGCCAGAGCGGCCTGAGGGTGAGCTCAACGTCCTGCAGGGAGCTGGGTGGGTAGAGAGGCGGGTGCTTGGGTGACTTGCCCTCCCCCAGCCTCAATGCCTCCGTGCATAAAAATGCACAGTAGTGATTATGCTGGCGGCCACAGGTCCCCCCCAGACTCTCAGCCCACAGCCCCAGAATTGGCACAAGTTGGCTCCCTGTTCATTGTCCCCGATTCTGGGGCTCCCCTCCTCTACCAGCCTCACCCACTCTGTCTCTCACTTGCAGCCCCTCCCGAGTACTCAGAGGTGGTGGCAGACGGGGAGGTGGCAGCTGTGGGGCAGAGCTCCTTTCCACCACTGCAGGACACTGACTTGAGCTTCGAAGGCCCCTTCTTCGCCTATATCCAGGAATTCCGCTACCGCCCGCCACCCCTGTACTCCGAGGTGAGCTTGGGGGTCTGAGAAGCTCCCAGGCCCTGGGAGCACAGGTGGGGGTGGGACTCAGATGAATTTGGGCTCAAGCCCACCTTGCCCTAACCCCATTGGCTCTGCATGTTGCCCCCTGGCTGAGTGTGGGAGTTGGAGATAAGTGGGGTGTTTCTGAGCCTCTGGTGCCCCCTGAGGCTTAATTGGCCTGTCTCTCTCAGGAGGATCCAAACCCACCCTCAGAGGCCATGAGGCCACGCTGCATGACCTGCTGAGCAAGTGGATACCTCAAGGGATGAGGTCGCCCACATGCTTCCGGCCACATGGAGAGTAGCTGTCTCCAGAGCAGACCAACCGGACAGCATTGAAGTTGGGGAATCCGAGTCTCAGAACAGGGCAGGGCTTTCCAACATCACAGGGGACAGAGGAAGAGCCAGGCAGGAATCTGATTTAGCTGGCCTGGTCCTCACAAGGCAGCGAATGCCCACTGTCGGAATCTGTCTGTCTCCGCTGGCCCGTGAACAGGGCTCAGCAACCCCAGGAGCTTCTAGTCTGGGAGAGATGTAGCCAGACATAAATACTTCCAGTCTCATGGGACCAGAAGAAGAGACCCAGAGCTGGGAGAATCCAAACAGGAGCAGAGAAGGCTTCCTGGGGCAAAGGGCGTTCTAGCTGAGGCCATACAAGCGACAGCTCAGCGCGCAGACAAGCAAGAGGAAGAAGTCGGAGAAGGTCAGAGCTGAGTGATGTTTGGAGATCACCCCCTTCGTCTTAGAACTGGGGCTCAGAGGGCAAGTGCCTCAGTTGAGGCCACACGGCAAGGTCCGGCAGGCGAGAGGGCCCAGGAACCGGTGCATTTGGGGAAGCAAGTCCTTGGAACTCTGTGGGACCTGTGGGTGGCAGGGGCAACTGCTCCAGCCTTCGGAAGCCAGAAAGACTCCTGGTCCAGGCCGGGACTGTCTGGGGGCTCCTCCAAGTGCTCCAGGACATGAGACCTGTCTGCATATTGTATGACCCAGGAAACCCGGTTCAAAATATTCAGCCAGGCCCTGGGGACAGAGGTCAGCCTGGGGTAACAGAGCAGGGCCAGTGCAGCTCTGGAGACCTCCTGTAGGGAAGGAGGGACAAAGTATGAGGGGGCAGCCGGACCAGCCCCTGGTTGCAGAGTCTCACCCGTGGCTGGGGCGGGGCCCCTGCCTGGGACTCAGCATTTCTGATAAGCCTTAAATTGTTCTCTTTTTTACAGTTTTTGTTTTTATTTTTTTAAATAAAAGCGTGGGGGAAGAGACTGGGCTTACTAGTTTATTTTCCTCAGCTGCCAAGAAAGCTGAGTGCCCTTGTTCTCTGTCTTGGGTCAGGATCTCTAGGGCTGAATGCCAGGCCAACGAGGGTTGAGGGGCCCATTGTCCGGAAGGAGAAACTGAGGCCCAAGGATGCACGGCAGGGGGCCGAGCTCAGGTTGGAGCTTGATCCCGTGCCCCTTCCCTAGCATAGTCACAGAGGCTGGGAGCGTGAACGGGGAAAGGCTTTTGTTTTTAAGACACAATTCGTTTGCCTTCAAGTGAACCGTTTTAAAGTGTACGGTTTGGTGGGATTTAGTGCATTGACAGTGTTGGGCACCTGTCACCTCCCTCTAGCTCCAGGACACTCTGGGCACCCACTGATCTGCTTTCTGTCTCTGGATTTCCCTGTTCTGGGCGTTTCATATACATGGGAGCCTACAACACATGGCCTCACTGGTGTCTGGCTTCCACCCAGCTTAAATTTCCACAGGAAGTTTCATCTGAGGGGTAGCATGCGTCAATGTTTCGTTCCTTTTTATGGCCAAATAATATTCTGCCGTGTGGACAGATTCCATTTTGATTGTCCCTTCACCCACTTGATAGGCAGTTGGGTCACCCCCACCTTTTGGCGATTGTGACTGGGGCTGCTGTCTGTGGACACGGGCGTACAAGGATTTGTTTGAACGTTCCCTGGGCCTTGAGGCAGCCCTGGTGGCACGGAGGTTGTGTCTGCTGGAGCAGAATGTAGAGAAAGTGAGTCAAACAGAGTGAGGTGACTGGGGCAGGGTCTGGAGTCACCACTCAGAACCCCCACACCTCACAGGTCAGTGCCCGCCCTGGTGGGGCTCCTGGCCCTGCCCCAGACTGAAGGCCCCTCCCCAGACCAGAGGCCCCGCCCCTTGGGATGACCATTGGCAGGGGTGAGCAGGGGGGGTGGGGGGAGGATTCCAGGGTTGGACACTGGCAAGTGGGGGTTCAGACTTGGTTCTTTGAGTGATCACAGACAAGTCACCTGCTCTTGAGCCAGTTTCCTCATCTGAGACTCTGGGGTACCTCCCCACCACAGCCTTAGTTGCCCCCCATCCCTGGCCTGAATTTGGGTCCTGATTTGCACCTGCTGCTTGGCCTGAGGTTTGCCTGGCCTTCCCTGTCCAGCAGCCACTGACCCGGTGTCAAGTTCAGAACCTGTCAAACTTAGGGTTCTTTTTGGGCCCCCCCAGAGGGGAGATGTATCCACATAGCACAGTCACTCCGGGCCCCCAAAATAGTCTCAGGAAGGGGTAAGTTCCCTGTCATCCTGGGTGTTCAGGACACAAAATCCCAGCTTCCGGATCCATGTTCCCAAACCAAGAAAGAAGAGTCTAAGGTGTCTATTGCAACAGCAGATGTGAGTAGTTCTACAAAAGGTTTCCCCCGGCAGGCTCGGGACGACAAGCCACCTCGTGTCCCCAGACTCCTGCATCTGCAACTGTCTGGAACCTTATCCCTAAAAGAGGTGGATTATCTGGTTCAGATAAATGAAAACCAGAATGGAGCTGGCTTGGGTCATCCAGAATTCAGGGAACTTCCTGAACGCAGAGTGAGGCCCACAGGGTAGAGAGGAGAGTGGCCAAATATTCTTCTAATATAAAATCCCACCCCTCCCTCAGCCCCTAAGATCTCTCACCCACCTCTCCTTCCAGCTTCCCCTGGATCCCTGACTACTACTCAGGTACCCCAAGCCGGCTCCTACCTCAGGACCTTTGTACATGTGGTTCCCTCTGCTGAAAGTTTCTTCCCCATGACCCACTCCTCTCTTACCTCCTAGCCTCATCTTTTCAGGAACACCCCAACTTCCTGGTTAATGGTGCCACTCCTTTTACTCCCTCTCCTATCCCCCTATCCTATTGTCTTTGTAGCCCTTGTCACTCTGAAATTTTTTATTTAGATACTCACTTGTTTGTCTGAAACTTTGAGGGCGGGGCTGGGGGAGGGCTGTGTCCCTGGCCCCAGCACATAGCAGGCATGGGAGGCCTGAGGGGGCTGTTGACTGGTGGGGACTCCTCCCTCCCCAACTCAGGGGTAGACCAAGATTCTGATGGGGGTGGGGGTGTTACTGCCTGACACTTGTTCCCAGGACCCCCTAGAGTCAGACCTGTCACCTGTTTGGAGAGTCAAGCACCAGGTCTCTGTCTCTGACTCACCCTCCTTGTCCCCCCACTCTGCCTCTCACATTTTCACGCTGTCTCTTTTGTCCATTCCTTCTGTCAGTCTCTCATTGTCTCTGTCTCCCTGTCTCTGTCTCTGGCTCACCATCTCTGCATCTCTCTCTGTCATTTCTTTGTCTCTTGCCCACCATCTCTCTTGGTTATCTCTCTGTCTCTCCCGGTCTCTGACTCCTTCCCCATCTCTGTCTCCTTCCTCGGCCTGGCCGGGCCCTGGGGCCATGGGGTTACAGGCAGGCTGGGCACCCTCCGCTTGTTTTCCGCCCTGGCTGGCACGGGGCCCAGCTGGGCTGCTGTTCAGGAATCCTCCAGCTGCCCTGCTCCAGCCACCAGGCACAGCCACTGGCCTCTCCTCCCAGCACATTCTGTCCCGAGCAGGGAGCCCTGGGGGTGGGTGGGGTGGGAGTGGAGGGTTCCTGTCTGCCTGTCGTTACAGGACAATCTGTCCTAGTGGCCTTGCTCCCCACCCATGCTGCCCCCTGATGCCCCCCCTCCCTAGTTTGGGCTTAGATCTTCTTGAATGGGGCCCCTCTATCAGCTCACTCCTACCTCAGGGGCTTTGCACCTGCTCTGCCTTCTACCTGGAGCTCCCTCTCTGCAGATATGCCCAAGACCTTCTCCCTGGCAGGCTTCAGATCACAAATCACCTCTTCAGGACATCCTCCCTGTCTCTAGGCCTGAACGCGCCTCAATTCCCCTCCTGTCCCAATGCCTTTTGCTTCCCGATCTTTCCCCTTCCTCAGAGTTCTAGATTTCCTTGTTTGTCAGTATGGTGTCAGTATACCCCAGAGCCCTGCCGTATCCCCAGCCTTGGAGAATATTTCAGAGTTGATACCATTTCATCCCAAAGCTCCGCTCGGCCTTAGCCACCTCAGCTCCCGCACGCAGCTCCCATCCCTTCAGCCTGGCTGACCAACCCCAGGCCCTGCCTCCTCCTGTCACTGCGGCCCCAGCTGTTCCCTGCACACACCTCCCGCCACTGTCCCCTGTGCCCCCGACAGGCACAATACCTCAGCCCTGCCATCTGTCCCAGGGCGTTCCTTCCCCTAGCTGCGCCTTTCCCGATGAGGGGCAGGGTCTCACTGGGCTGCATGTGGGGGCTTCTACGACGTACACACACACACACACACACACACACACACACACACAGAAATGGATGCACACGTACAGAGACACAGAAAGGGGCCAGCCGACTCCGGGGCGCACAGCCTAGACCTTGATGAACGCGGACCCACGTGCATGCGCGTGCGCACACACAGAAAGCACGCCGACACCTGTCTGAACAGGTACGACAGTATTGCCCTCCTGGGCACCCCTGGCCCTGGCTGAGGGCTTGCAGGGTGTTCAGATGTGGAGGCCCCCAACTCCACAACCTGTGGAAGCAGGTAAGATGCTCTGCATGTCACAGGGGGTGCAGGACTGGGGCTTGGACCCCACGCCAGGGTGTGCACAGACCTGTCCACACACGCGCCTCTGCCCTCGCTCCCCCGCCCCCTCCCCCCACCTTATTTCTGACGTTCGAGGAAGGCCAGGAAAGTCCCCAGAAAGCATCAGGCTGGGCAAGGGGCCCAGGAGGAAGAAGTGACTCGGCCAGTAGCCATCCGTGCCTGCCTGGCTGGGAGGCCCCGTGGGGGGGGTTGGGGGATTCACAGAGAACAATAGAGGGCTGGGGGGCGGGGACAGGGTCCACAGGGCCTGCTGAGCAGGGTTGGGGGGTTGGGGAGGGGACGGATGGGGCATGCCTCAGTGGGTCTCCGGTGCTCTAATACCTCCCCTCTGCGGAGCCCAATTCACAGGTGGGGAAACAGGCACAGAGAACAGATGACTTGCCCAAGACCCCCCAGCCAGGATGGGGCAGGCAGAGGACCCCTCTGGCCTTGGTAAAGGGCTTTTGGGGGCATCTACTCTCCCCGCCTGTTTCGGTGGGCAAACGGAGCCGAGCAGGGTCCACTTTGTGGCACCACGTGTGGCCATGTGACTGGGTCTGGCCAATTAGAGCCTTTGGTGACCACAGACTCAGGGATTGGCTCAGAAATAGGCATGTGACTCGGCCAGGGCCAGTCACCCTGGGGGTTTGGGGGCCCCTGGAGGTGATAATGCGAGCCATCTTTGCTACCACAAGTTGCCACAGAACAGAGTCCCAAGGTCCTCGTGGTGAAATCCACAGACACCCCCTGTGGAGTGAGGGTGGAGCCAGGGGGAAGGACAAGGGCTGGAGGGCCCTGGGAGAGCTTCCAGGAGGAGAGGACACTGGAGTGGGGTTTTGATGGATGAAGAGGAGTTCGCCAGGGAGCTAGAGAAGGGCATTCCAAGCAGAGGGAACAGCCTCTGCAACCACAGCAGGCGAGACAGGGCCAAGTGTGTCCTTAGCCACTCTGGGGGCTCCATGGGGCTGGAGCACAGAGAGGGTTTGGTTATTTGCTCCTAGGCGCCCCCACCAGCCCCTTAAGGAGGAGACCACGTCTTTGCCGGCAGCTTCGTTGGCAACTGATGTTCCTTTGGTGTTTGTACTGTAGGTGGCCTTTCTTTAGGGACCTGGATGAGGAGCCATGGTGAATGGGAGAATTGGCTTCGTGGGGCAGGAAAGCCTGGAGCTGGGTGAGGGCGGTCCCGGGAGCCCGGGGAACAGGACCACAGTCCAAGGCAGGAGGAGGCATTTCTCGTCTCCCCATTTGTGAGCCCCCCCTCACCTGGGCATTGTGCACCAGGGGAGACAGGGTGGGGCTCAGGGTCTGCACTCCCAGGACCACCTCTCCCTTCCTGTGTGACCCTGGGATAGTGGCCATAGGTCTCCGAGCCTC